ACGTCATCGCATTTAGCCTATGAGAGTGCTGTGAGGTATCAGATACAGCTAGATAGATAATTATTTGCATAATTTACTCGATATTGTTCTTTTTTCTGTGCCGTATCAGAGCCTGACGTTGGCGACCATGTTTAATTTCATGGTTGTACAAGGGAGTGTACGAAGGTGGTTTCCTGTTGCCTTCCTTCGGGTTCAAATTACCAGAAAAAAAAAACAAAATTCCCTTCTTATATTCATCATAACGAAGAGATCCTTACCATTCACAGCCGTCAGAATACTCTTGGAAAAAAGTCACATTTGTTTTGTGTGTTCAACATGCTAATTGGAAGTGGAGATACCTGGTTATATGTTCCTGGGCTAGAAGCATCACTCAGCAAAGGTGAAGTTGTTTATGTGTGCCTGTGCGTGTCTATGAGTATGTCACTTTTTTTTTTCTTTCTTTCTATCATCACTAATTCTTTTATGCTGAATTGTTGTAGCAGTATATTCTTTGACTGTAATTTTATTATTATTATTTTCTTGTTCATTAGTGCCAAACTGTATTAAAGAAGCAGAGGAAATTCTATTATCATTTGTGTGCACGCAAATAATGATATATTGCTAGTGAAGAAAGAAACAGGAACCTACTTAAGTACCTCTCTCTCGTTCAATCAATGATCAAGATCTCAAAGGAACACTCGGGATAGCGTGAAGGATCTCTCCATCAGCAAACAGAATTGCTGTGTTGCACGTGGTCACGAGAGACACGTAGGTCATTGGTCTCAGCTGTTCAATTCTAAACCGTCTGTCCTTGTTGATGATAATGCACACATACACACGCATACACACACACACACACACACACACACAAACACACACATACATACATGCACACACATACACACACACATACATGCACACACATACACACACACACATACACACACATATACACACACATACACACACATACACACACATACACACACGCACACACACAAACACACACACATACACGTTAACCATGCACTGACATGGCAGTAAAGTAACAAAGTTGTCATTTCATTACACTCCACAGTCATTTCCACTTTAAAGTAACAATTTAAATAACAATGGATATAATTTCGCTTAACAAAATCAAAGTTCTGGAGACTTTAGAAGAGAGAGAGAGAGAGAGAAAGAGAGAAATGGAGGGCGGAAGAGAAAGAGAGTGAAAGAGATAAAAATGTAGTTTAAATTTCTAAAAAAAAAATCCTACCTCTGGAAATTAATTCAGTTAATTCAATAGTTAATGTCATAACACTGACCTTTCCATACAGGTCCGATGCTGAAAAGTTAAATGGATGTTAAATGAATGTTATGAGAGGAAAAGATGCATGTTTGTACTGGCAGTAGTAGTAGTAATAATAAACTGATAATAATGACACTGATAATGATAATTTATAATGATAATAATGATGGTAGCAATAATTATAACAATAATAATTATTGTTTTTATTATACTGACAATAGTAATGATAATAATTATGATAATAATAATCATTATTATCATGATGATAGTAACAAGATCGATAATAATGATAATGGTAATAATGATATTAATGATAATAATTATGACAATAATATAGAAGAGAGCAAACGAGAAGGCTAAAGAGGAAGTGGCAAAGGCGAAGGCGAATAACACAAAGAAAGTCGAGAATGAACCAGAAATCCCGGCGGGGGGGGGAGGAGAAATTTGCATAAAACAACCAGAGCAAGAGACAAGACGTCAAGAGATTTCACCCACATCAGACAGGTCCAAGATCAGCAAGGAATGGTTTTAAATGAGGAGGATAAGCTCCAGGAGAGGCCGTCAGTATACTTCGGGCTTCTGTTAAACAAAGAAAATCCAAGACAAAAGTTTGGAGATGGAATACCAAATCAAGGTGTAATGTCAGGAATAACTAGAGAAGAAGTAAAGAAAGCTTCAAAGAAAAATGAAAAACAACAAAGCTACAGGACCAGACGACATCCAGGCAGAAGTGAGGAAGAGTTTAGAGGAGGAAAGAGTAAACAGGTTGTGGGATCTGATGCAAAAGATCTACCAGGAAGAGAAGATGCCGTTAGAATGAAGAGATAAGGTGGCAGTAAAGATATACAAAGAGAAGGGAGACATCCGGGAGTGTGGAAACTAAATGTGTATCAAATTGATGTCACACACGATGAAAACCTGGGAAAGAGTGATATAGAGCGAGCTAAGAGAAGAAATAACTGTGGCAGACGAGCAGTTTGGCTTCACGCCCGGTAGAGGGACGACAGACTCGATCTTTGCACTTAGACACATGATGGAAAAGCACAGAGAGAAGAGGAAAGGTTTGTATAAGGTCTTCGTGGACTTGGAAAAGACGTATGATAGAGTGCCTCGACAAGAAGCATGGAGGTGCATGAGGGGAAAAGGAGGTAGTGTGGGAGTCACAGGTCGGATACCCGTAAGAGAGGGATTACATCAGGGCTCTTCCCTTAAGCCTATACCTTTTCGATC